GGGCACACTCCTTAAATTCTCACTCAACTTTTTGTCCAGAAACATAATGTTCCTCACTTGGGCCCTTTATTGGCCTTCCACCCGGGTGCTGCCCAGATTCCTGCTGGAGCTGCCCAGGAAAGTCCTCCTTGTACCACCAGGATTCAAGACCAGCAGCTCTGCTTTAGTCAGCCCTGCTGGAGTCCCACTATAACAGGGAATCCTAACATTGCAGTGACTTTACAGAGTAAAAGTTCACCTCCTGTTCCTGTTGTAGTCCCAGGCACGTTGGGTGAAGCACTCTGCTCCACACAGTCACCCAGGGACCCAAGCACCTTTGCCTTGGGGAGCTACCTTCATGGGCCTAGTCCTCCTTTGCACTAAACTCACAAATGGGTTCAGAGTATGGAGGGTCTCTCAGCTTCAGTTTCCATATCTGTAAATGGAGACATTGATAACGTAGCTCTGCCTACTTGTGGAGTTGTCAAGAGCACTGCTTGGGATCGGGCTGGGAGAACCCTTTACATACTTGGAGAGGTTTCCTCGTGGCCCTTGGTGCCAGCTCTGAGGTTCTCTGTGTCCTGTGAAACCAGAAGGGCCCCTTTGGGGCAGGGAGATTCAGATTGAAGACTTGGCCAATCACTGAGCTGCTCTCCTTCCCACCCAGCCCCTTTGATGCCAAGAATCCATTCTTGGCTGTCGTCACCACCAACCGGAAGCTGAACCAGGGAACTGAGCGACACCTCATGCATCTGGAATTAGACATCTCAGATTCCAAAATCAGGTACCAGCTACTGCCACTCCCTCTCCCACACCTTCACTCGGGGCCTCCTGATTTGGGTACAGAGGCCTTCCACCCTCCTCCTGAGCCTTACATCTATCTCCCCCCCCAGGTATGAATCGGGTGACCATGTAGCTATTTACCCAGCCAATGACTCTGCCCTGGTCAACCAGATTGGCGAGATCCTGGGTGCTGACCTGGATGTTGTCATGTCCCTGAACAATCTTGATGGTGAGTTCTGGAATCAAGGCCACTCCCCCTTGCCTGCCTGGGCCTGAGGTGGCTGATAGGAATAAGTCCTTTGGCAAGGCCTGTAAGTTGAGCTGCTTAGATCTAAAGCCCTGGTACCCACAGTTATCAGTCCTGTAGCAAACTTGGGGGGCAGGGAGCAAAAGTAGCTGTGGTGTCTAGTCCTCTACCTTGGGGTTCCCTCCATCCCCTCACTGGCATAGCCCTATGAGGGAGTGGGGGAGGGAGCGGTGCCTAAAGAGGGGACTACTGGCAAGGGCCCTGGCCCCTAGGCCTGGCTCCACCATTACTGGCTACTGAGGACGTAGGGCTGCCCTCTCCCTGTTCCAGAGCCTGCATCTCCTCACCTGTAAACTTGGGGATCAGAGTCAGCAATGCTAACAGCCCCCCAGGTCCGTGCAGGGTGCTCAGAGTGCAAGAGGCACTAAATATGGTATAGGATTTTCCCAAGGCTTCAAAGGACTGCCTCTGGCCTCTTGCTCTGACCGCTTGGTACCCCCACTGACCATCCACCTGGGGCCCAGCTCTACCTGGTGCTGCCCCACTCACTCTTGTCCTCGGTCATCCTAGCCTGGCTACACCTTCTCACCAGCTTAAGTCAGCCTTTGAAAGGAACAGCAGGAAAGGGGGCTGACTTATATTATAATTAGTCATGCCAGCTGTGGAGGCACAGTGGACACACTGTCTCTCTCGTTCTGTGGAGTATGTCATGTCCCTGTACCATCAGAGGTGGCACCTTGCAGGGGAGGGTGTGGTGTGCTCACTTTCCCCCCAGGACAATCTGAACCCCTGCAGGGGACCCTTCACTGCTGAGAACTGCCCAGAAAGAGGTGCAGAGGCTCAGAACTCCCCACGGCAGAAGTGTAGCTTTAGGAAAGGTGCACTCACAGCATTTCCTGCAGTGTGAAGCCTGAGCCCTGTTTCTGGGCTCAGTACAGAGGACTCCGGGGTGCTGGGAATACCCAGCCTTTTTATCTGGGTGCTAGATACACAAGGATGTTGTGAAAATTCATTACGCTATACACGTATAACTTGTATGCTTCATGTAGGTTATACTGCAGTAAGAAGTTCAAACCCTTTCAAAAACTAGACCCAAACCCTTAAATGCTGAGCCCTTCCTGGGCCAAGGCCCTCAGTGTCCTCGGCAGAGGCTCATCTGCACAGGCTTTATATAAACAGCCCCCACGGTCATGCCTCTAAGAGGGGGAGATGCTTTTTGGCAGCTCCCAGGCTGGCCCTGCTCTAGTCTGGAGGGAGGAGGTCAGTAAAGCTGGCCTGGTGCCTGGTGGCAGAGAAGGCTGCAGCAAGGGCTGGCAGTGGGGCCTGCACCAGTGCCTGCACCTGGAGCGTACGGATGCTGCACCAAGAGCTCAGCTGTGTGCCCTGTGTAGACCTCCAGGTGTATCCAAGCATAAAAACTGACCTGGAGGGGCCCTGCCATCACAGCTGAAAGCCACGGTGTTGGCATCTCACAGTCATGAGCCTGGGGCCCCCACAGTAGACTGAGCTCAGCCCGCAGGCAGGCAGACAGACACACCGGGAGCCCTGCCTCTGCAGCCCTCTCTCTGAGCCACTTAGGAACTGACTCTCCTGGAGTGGAAAGGTCCCGCCTGAGGAGGACTACCTGTCTGGCCTGAAGCTTGAGGCTGGCTGAAAGCCTGAGGCTCAGCCCCAGGGCCCACAAAGAGCTGGCCCTGCTTCCAGTGCCAGCTGGGCCACCTGCTTCCTGCAGAGTAGCCTTCGGCTTCTCCCACCCCAACCCCATGGCATCCCCCTCACACCAAATCCTGCCTTCTCTGTCCCTGCAGAGGAATCCAACAAGAAGCATCCATTCCCCTGCCCCACCTCCTACCGCACAGCCCTCACCTACTACCTGGACATCACCAACCCGCCACGCACCAATGTGCTCTACGAGCTGGCCCAGTACGCCTCCGAGCCCTCGGAGCAGGAACACCTGCGCAAGATGGCCTCTTCCTCGGGCGAGGGCAAGGTAAGTCTGCTGCTTTCACCCCCAGCACCCAAACTTGCAGCTCCACCAAGCCACTCTTCAAGGGGCTTGGATCCAAATTTAGCCCTGTCCCCTGGAACCACTGTGTCCCCTCACCGTGGCTCACCCCAAGTTGTCTTCCCCAGGAGCTGTACCTGAGCTGGGTGGTGGAGGCTCGGAGGCACATCCTGGCCATCCTGCAGGACTACCCATCCCTGCGGCCCCCCATCGACCACCTGTGTGAGCTGCTGCCTCGGCTGCAGGCCCGCTACTACTCCATCGCTTCTTCCTCTAAGGTGGGGAAAGGCTGGCAACTTACAGAAAGCATAGCATTGGCGTCTCTGAGGGACATGGGAGCCCCGAGTGCGGCTCCAGCTCTGACCCAAGCTCCTGGGACAGTTCACTCCGTTCACTGGGCAGTAATCCCAGTAGGCTGGCTGTAAGATTGCACACTGCTTCCAGCCCTGGTGGCAAGAGCCAGTCAGGAAAGCTACTGGAAAGGGGCATTTGGGGGTTGGGCACCATGAAGGGTATGGAGAAGCCCTAAGGCAGCTCAGGTGACAGGACTGGTGGCAGAATGGGGCCTCGGGCACCACTGTTGAACTCACTTCCTGCCCTCTGCCAGGTCCACGCCAACTCTGTGCACATCTGTGCTGTGGTTGTGGAATATGAAACCAAGTCTGGCCGAATCAACAAGGGTGTAGCCACCAGCTGGCTTCGAGCCAAGGAGCCCGCAGGGGAGAATGGCTGCAGGGCCCTGGTGCCCATGTTTGTGCGCAAGTCCCAGTTCCGCCTGCCCTTCAAGGCCACCACACCTGTCATCATGGTGGGCCCTGGCACTGGGGTTGCCCCCTTCATAGGCTTCATTCAGGAGCGGGCCTGGCTGCGGCAGCAGGGTGAGTGTGTGGGCCCCAGTGGATGTGAGGGGAGTGGGGGGAGGGGCAGAGATGGGACAGATTCCATGCCCACCCTGGGCACTCCCCCCTCCAGGTAAGGAGGTGGGTGAGACGCTGCTCTACTATGGCTGCCGCCGCTCTGACGAGGACTACCTGTACCGTGAAGAGCTGGCCCAGTTCCACAAGGAGGGCTCCCTCACCCAGCTCAATGTGGCATTCTCCCGGGAACAGCCTCAGAAGGTGAGGAAGGGGCCGACCGCTCTGGCGGGGTGGAGGGCTGCGAGACTGGCCTCCTCACGGGCACCACCCTCTGTTCTCAGGTCTACGTCCAGCACTTACTGAAGAGAGACAAGGAGCACCTGTGGAAGCTGATCCACGAGGGGGGCGCCCACATCTATGTCTGTGGGTGAGTGAGGGTAGAGGAGTGGGAAGATTGAGGCGCTGTCTGCCCATGGGGACACTCCTTGCCCAGCCCCCAATGCCACCTTCCTCCCCACAGGGATGCTCGGAACATGGCGAGGGATGTGCAGAACACCTTCTACGACATTGTGTCTGAGCTGGGGTCCATGGAACACACCCAGGCCGTGGACTACATCAAGAAACTGATGACCAAGGGCCGATACTCCCTGGATGTGTGGAGCTAAGAGCCCACTCTGCCCTCACGCCCTATAGACTTGGCTTCCCCATATAATCACTTTCCTCCCCTTCTGCAGCTTCCTGGATAGGTTCTGCTGGGCCTTGTCCCAGGATGCAGACTCAGTGACAAAGACTGAGGCCTCCTGCCTAAGGGCACCTGGCCAAGGGTGACCAGGTCCTCACTTTGTGAACACCTCAGGCCTCCAGTGGCTGTACAGAAGGGGCTCTTCTCTCAGCTGAGCAGGGGCTTGGCCCCTCCACATGATTTTCAATGAATGTAAATAATTTTAAATAACCTCTGGCCCTTGGAATAAAGTTGTTTTCTGTATTTGCCTGATGTTCCTCAAACAGATCTGGGGCCTTCACCTAGGTCTGCTTAGTTGAGACACCAGAGAGACCAACTCAGGAGCCCCAAGAACCCGTGCTGTGGCAGCACAGAGAACCACCAGGAGACCACACACCTCGCGCCACCTCTGTGCCTCTCTTCCTTTATTAAGGCCACTGGCCCCCAGCTCGCCACAGGCTGGGACACAGGTCCAGGTCTTCTCCAGCATAGCCTTTGGGGCCCACAGAGCCCACAAGACCCAGAGAGAGCAGAGAGACCTTCTGGACGAGCGAGTCCCACCTCCTAAAACAACACATGGGGTACAGAAGCCCCTTCCAAGCCAGTGGGCAGAAGACCCAGCCTCAATCTTTCTTGCTCCTGTGCCGCTGACTGTGGAATTTCTGGTGCACAACCCGCAGGGTGGTGAAGAAATTGCCGAGGAAGAGGATGAGGAAGGGGAGGCCGCACATAAGCACCTGGGGGAGGAATCAGGATTAGGACAGGGGCCGAACCACAGTCCTCCCAGCGTGCTTTCCAGTGTCCCTGGCTCACCTGCCACTCCTTGCACTCAGGATCCCGGGCCAAGCTGAACAATGTCAGCGCGTTAAAAAGCTGCCAGAACTGGGAAGGAGGGGGATTTCACATAGAACACAGTCCCTGCTCGAGCCAGAGCAGGGGCTGGACAGCCAGATGGAAGGGGACACAGATACAACTTACATGTCCAAAGAACAGAAAGGGCAGCAGGAAGGTGAGGCCCCGCCACATCCAGGACTGGAAGCCCTCTGTGAGGGAGAAGGGGCAGGGCATAGAATAACCAGTGACAGAGACAGACACTATCACTCAGGTAGAGAGGGAAGGACTGCCCCTTCCCAGCTTCCTGGTCATGGTCCAGTGGAGGGCCACGCCCGACTCACCCACAGTGAGATCCATGGTGTGCCTCTCACCCAGGGCCCGAAGGCGGTACAGACAGCCGCTCTGATAGTAATACTGCAGGAACTGCACGAAGCCTGGGGGGTGGAGGACATCAGGACTGGGCTGGAGCCCCAAGTCCTTTCCCCGCCCCTCTCTCTGGACAAGTCCTGAGCTGAGCAAGGCCCTGAGACACTCACTCTGGTACATGGAGAAGGACAGGAATTGGTTCCGGAACTTCTGGTACATGAGGCCGTCGGGCCTAAGGCAGAAAGCAGAGGGAGGGGTGGGAGCTTGGGGATGCCGCGTCTTCCTGTCCTGGCTTCCCCCCTCCCCCACTGCCAAGGCCCTGGGAGCCAAGCTGGGCCACTCACCATGTCAGCATGACTCCCGACAGGAACGTGGACACATAATGATGGAAAACCCACCAGCCTTTGATCCTATATCAGGAAGCTGCTGTCACTTCTGTAACCCTTAGCCCCCAGGACTGGTGCTCAGGGACAGGGAGCTGTCTGAGGTGGGAAGAAACCAACACCCCAGCCCAGTTCCTGCTTCTCAGAGGGCCGTGGCACCACCACTCCACTTTCTAGGGTAGCTCCAGTACCCCCTCCCTCACCCCCGCCCCCAGGAGCTGGGGTCAGGCCCTTGCCCACCTGGAACCATTGTTGATAAGGATGCTCTCTCGAATGGTCAGTGTGCAGTAATACCAGACCAGCAGGAAGTTGAAGGCAGCGTCTGTCACCCTACAGAGGGAACACAGGGTTGGTGCTGGAGCCAGAGGAAACAAGGTCTGGCCCGAGCTGTAGGACACCCACCTGGAGTTGAGGAGGAAGCGACAGGTGAAGGAGATGAGGATGAGGATGATGGTGAGGTAGAGCTTGAACTTCTCGTACTCATCTTTGTAGGCAAACCTGGAGTGGGCACACACACACATGGGACAGGCTGGGATGCTGGTGGGACCCACCCTCACCTCTGCCTGAGAAGGGGGGCACCTGCTCCAGACACAGCTGCGTGCATGGTATGGGCCAGCATGAGGGAGTAGCCCCTGGACTCCAAGGCTTAGCCAGGGCAGTTGGAGCAGTGGAAAGGCCCCAGAAGGGTGGAGAGCTGGGCTGAGAACCAGCCTACAATAACCAATTACTTAGCCTGCTTGCTCAGGAGTGTCACGTTGACGTTGCCCAGAACCAGGCTCAGGTACAACCTAGGGAAGGGGGAGATGGGGTGAGAAGAGGCCCCAAATGAAAGCAGCCAAAAGCCAAGCCCTGGAGTGTGCCAGACCAGTATCTGGATCACCACCCCCACTCAGCCTTCCCATGGCCTTGGCTTAGGGCTCTGACCTTGGGATGCTGCAGACCAGGAAACACTGACACGCAGCCTTTGTTCCTGCCTACTCCTAAATCCTGCTTCAAGGTAAATAACTTTCCCTCCCTCCGTTGTCATCGTCACCCACGCTCTCCCAGCGCCCCCCACCACGGGTCCTCAAGAGCAGCCTGGCTCTTCCACCCCATGAAAGCCTTGCCCACATCTCAGATTGCTCCTGTGCGTCTGGGCGGTGGACTCAATGTCTGGGTTCATGATCACCATCTATCAGCTACCCTACAGTTCCTGCTACTTTTGAGAACCTGCAGCTTGCCCAAGTCCACTGCAGCAACCCACACTCACAACCACTCCAGGACCTCCTCCCAACCAAGAATGGCCTCCTCGGCAAGGCTGATTACATTCTGATCAGAGTGCCCAGCCGCGCAGCCCGTTTCACCACATGGACCCTCCCCACATGGAGGCTCCCAGGCACTGTTGACCTTGCTCCTCTTTCCTGAGCCAGCTAAGTCCCCAAGCCCTCCTTCACATGTCAACCACTTTCTTGCCAACTTGTAACTCCCAGTTCCTGGCACTACCATCACACCCATCAGCTAAGCTTGTCTTGTCCTTCTCTGCCAGAGAAACCTCAAGAGGTGACCAGAGAGTCTCGGTCATGCACTAAGCAACTACACCCACACATGGGCTCTTGTTCAAGCCATATGGATGGGTTCAGAGTGGTTAAAGGACTTGCCCAAGGCTGTGAAGAAATTAAGGGGCACAGTGGACACTTAGACAAGGCCGCCTCCCAGGACCACCACTGGCTCCCTATCCCATCCTTTCGCCTTCCTGGCATCCGACACCTCTCCTGCCTGCACTGTCACGCTTATCTCTGCACCCCCTCTCATCCCCAAACAACAGGAGCCTATGTCCAACCCTCTCCATCTTCCCAAGAGTTTTCCTCCATCACTTGGTGTTCCCTTTCTGGGTCTCTCCCTCTGCTGGCCCACCTTCCAGCAGGTAGATATACTCATTTGTCCTATTGTTCAAAGTTACACATACGCTCAAGCAAAAGCCGCACCCCAGCCCCAACCCTCACACTAAATTCTAGGTACTAGTTCCTCTTTCCATTCACAGCCAAGCTTCCGAAGTGTAACCTAAACTTGGCTGTCTCCTCAGCTCTTCTGTCATTCCCAATATCAACTTCCACCCACACCGTCCTGTGAAGTGGTTCTCTCCAAGGTCACCATGACTTCCAGGAAGTATTTCCCCTTCATTACTACATTTGACCCCTGAGGCCATCTGATCTGAGGCTGGTACTCCTTCTTACCTTGCCCTCTGGGACATGCTCTCTCCCAGCTGTCTGGCTACCTGCCATCTCTGCTGGACTTTTTTTTTCGCTCAGCCTAGGGTTCTGCATTGTACCTACTCATCCTCCTCAGTTGTGGAAGTGCATACTTACGTGACCTGTCACTCTCCCCTGCTTGCTGGGGACTCTGCAGCCTGGCTCCCCTGCAGTCTCATCACTACCTCTCACCTCCCACTGCTATTACTGCTTTTCTGACCAGGTTCAACTCCACTCAGGCCTCAGCTACTCCAGGAGGCTCTCTCTGACCTCCTGGGCTGGATTAGGGGCCTCCCTTATCCCCTGTTCACTGTAGGTTCACCTCAAAGCACCCAATCACAGTGAGCTGTCTGTCTCTCAGCTGTCTCCCCTGAGACAGACTGCTCAGCCCAGAGTGGGCCCAGGGAACATCTGCTGACTCAATGATCAAGCAGAGGAAGAGTGTACTTCAGGCCTGTCTCCCAGGAGTGGCTGTGAGCTGAATTTGGGGGCAGGGTCTCACCCATTCTTCTTGGGCAAATAGGCTTCCATATCGAAGAAGAGGCCTTGGCGCTCCTTGATCTGGTTCTCCAGCTCCTTTGAAGCCTCCTGGACCCCCGCTGGAAGGGAGGGTTTGCATCTGCAGGTGGGACCACAGAAGCCAGTCAGAGCAGGAGTATCACACTGACACCTGTGGGGCAGGAGGGCTACCATGGCTCAGAGAGGGAGGGGAGGAGCTGTGCCAAAGACACTCCCAGAGTCATCACCAGCCCTCCAACCCACCAGGTGAGACACCCACACCCAGACCAAGACCGAGGGGCCCTCGGGGGGATGGGGAGGGGGAGGGTCCTAACTTCTTTAGAATGAGGGCCAGCTCCTGGAGCTTCTTCTTCTGCCGAGTGATGGAGCTGGTACAACTGTTCTGCAGTTTGATCAGCTCTTCCAGCTTCAGACGGTACTGCCTGTGGGTCTCCTGAGGACCAGGATGAGAGAAGGGTCAGACTGGCTGGAGGGCCATTGAGCCAGAGCCTGCTGGGCAGGGACTGGGGCACAGATTCCTCCAGGGCTCCTTGGGAGGGTCTCAGCAGATGAGGCAGCCAGCTGTGCCAGCCCAGGGACCTCCCTAAGGTTGCTCTCTCTCTCTCCAAGTCAGGCAAGGAGACAGGGTTCTTTCTGCAAGCCCAGAAGCACCCATGGCACCCCGCTTCCAGAAACTGGCTAGTTCCCTGAAGGTTTTTTTACTCTAAACTCATCTACTAGTTGTTTCCACCCCTCTCTGTCCCGCCCTGAGTCTGGATTCTAAGCCCACAGGTCCACCTTCTGGACCAAACAGGCTACCTGAAGCCACCCCTGGCCTTGGCCGATGCTCCTGCCTATCCAGCCACATGTGCAGAGGGAGCTGGGATTGTCCAAGATGGCCTCTGCTCTGGCACTCCCTTCATCTTCCTCCCAGGTTAAAGGTCATCAGGCTTCAGTTCTTGGTCTTCCTACTGTAAGACCAGTCCCATACACCTCCCCCAGCACCTTTGGCCCAAAGCCTCCCAGAGCACTTTGCCCTGGTGGGTGAGTCTAGAGAAGCAGCAGCCTGGAGGCTGGGCAAGGGGCAATGTGAGGAAGGTCAGGCAGGGGCTGAGGCCAGGCCAGTGGTGATCAGGCTGGGAGACTCGGTCGGCTCCCCTTAGGACTCTAGGAAGAAGCACTAATGGCAGCAGGTATGGCTGGCCAGGGGGGCAGCTGGGCTTCAATGTGGGCAGGGACTGGAATCAGCCCAGCAGAGGTAAAGTCCTCACCAAAAACACAGCTTTCCTGAGCTCTGCCCTGAATGAGTATTGTTCCTCCTGCCACCGCGCCCCTCAGAACCCAGCAGGTTCCCCCTCTGCCCACACCCAGCCCCACCTTCCCCACTTCCTCCCTGGACTCCCCGCCGAACAGCAGAGCGGCCAATACAAGCCGGGGCCGGCCAATTCCTCCGGTGGCTCCCGCTGGTCTCGGAGACTCCAGTCCTGGCCAGGCCCCCAGGCGCCTGCGGGGCTGGTCCACCCACTTCCCCCCGACTCCTGCAGCCCC